TGTTTAAGAATAAAAGAACCAAGACCTTACAAAGTCGAAGATTTGGTAGCTATAAAAAGAGTGCAGTTAGATCTGCATTTGAAATTGAAACCAAAATATCTTAGACAGCACAGAATAAGTAAAGGAGGGAACACATACAATGTAGTCAAAGAAAGAAATCACAAAGTTCCCAACTATATTACGGCATGCAATGAATTCCTAAAATCATCAAATAATTACTAAGACTAAGAAAAGAAGACTAAAGTAAACTAAAAGTCTGCAAAGGATATTGTTACTCTGAGTAGGCCAATTTTAGTATCATTAATGTTGTATTTATAAAGGAACATATAACTTTCTTTCAGTGAATCTGCCATATCTGATGAAATAGCAAGCCTTCCTCTAAGCTGCTTTAGTAAGCAGCACATACTAAAGCAAAAATAATTTTAGCAGAGAATTAAATTAAAAACATTTTTTTTCATGTAAGCTTTTGTTTAAAATTCATAAAATAATTAATGAACTAAAAAAATAACTTAATAGTTTAATCGGAACAAGAGATTAAATAATTCTCTTCACAAAATGCATCTATTATTTTATATCACAATACTGAAAAGTGTTGGGGGACCTAAATAAATTTATAAAGATAAAAGCTTATAATTTTGACAATTAAATTTGACTATTAGATTTCATTATTTAGGCTCCTTTGCTTTTATTATTAGTAAAATAAAACTGTAGATGAATTCTGTAAAGAGAATAATTATTAAATTTCATACACTAAATTCTTTTTTCACTTTTAGCTCATTAATTATTTTAATGGGCTTTAAATGAAAACTTACTTTATCAGAACTTTTCTTTCTTATTTTTAGTCTCAATGACATTTTGTCAATCAAATTATTCATTTCAAAAATCATATCAACAAAGAATAATTACTCTTTTTATTTCCCCACAATTCTGTTACATGCCAAATTATTGAAAGAAATCCAGCGATTAAGAAAAAGGGTGGGGCAATAACTTTAAAATTTCATTTAGAAGATTTTTCTATGTTCTATCTGACTGTGCAAACAGTAAAATTCCTAGATTTTTAGTTTGTTCCTTAAACTAATATATGTGCAAAAAATTGCTTCAATTTTAAGGTTTTAAAAATGTAGGATGAAATTCAAAAAATCACTTCATTCTCATCCTCACTGTGCATGTATGCAAAATCTGAGCTTAAAATAGACATCACAGTTTTAACCACAATCACCAACACCATAAGTGTGTTAAGTAAAATCATATAAAATGCAAGTAGTTTTAAAATAAACTAGAAAACTGCGTAACTAATATTTTTTATCATTCCTGTTTTGAAAGAGAGCGAAGAATTTGTTTTATAACCAATAAAAATTTTAAATCTTTATAATGGGTTTATAATGGGTTGGATGTTAGACTTAAAACAAATAAAAGTATAAAATATTACACACCAAAATCAGGTTTTAAAATGAAATGCTAAGAAAAAATATAAATGCTTATGAAATGGAAACAATTAAAAATTACACAGTTGATACGATTGCAAATAATTTTAAACAGTAGCAGATCCTTCCCCCCCTGGAATTAATAAAATGAAATGAATTGTAAAATAGAAAATCTGCATGCAAAAAAAGGAGGCAGAAAATAATATTTATAAAATGGGCCGATAGTAATTAAAGTAGTATTTATAAAAGTTTTTTTATAATAAGCTTATTTTCTCTGCAAGTTTCTTTGCAACAAGAGGACTGAAATTAATCAATAATTAAACTAATTTTAGAGAAATCTATACGGAGCACGAGAAATATTGTGATGTAATGAGATTATTACTTTGAAACTGATGCCCAAGATGATCTAATATTTCCCATTCTGCTTAACTGAAATTTTTTTTAAAGTAAAAAAATTGTCCAATTAATGTCTATTATCATACTTTTTTTAAAAAATCTGATGTATCACATAACTTCCTTGTACAGAATATTAAATTATACCCATTTCTTCTTGCATTTCATTTAAACTTATTGGATTGGATTAAATCTACTTCGTCGACAGCGCATAAACCACAATAGAATAAATGCACTTTTTAAAATTTGCTATATTTGTCTACCATAGTGACACTCTGACCGTAGGTTCACTTAACAGCATTATATTTTGTTCATTTTTTAACTCAGAATGCACACAATTGATATCATCTAAAAATTATCTAATCGTTGCCACATGTTCTGCTCAAATACTATAATAAGTCTAAAACGATGTATAAAGAAATTAAGCAAGCAACAACAACAACAAAAAAGAAACAGTTTTTCACAGACGATTCAGTATTTCTAATTCAATTAATTCAGTTCTCACTTCACGACAAGGCAAAAATACATTAAAATTCAAGATAGCTGTATTGAAAATTATGAAGTAAATCTTAAACACTTATTTCCTCAAATAAATTCCAGAATGGATTAAGCATGATTTAATTTGCAATTTACTAAAGGCATAAAAATCTTAACTGGAATATAAGAACAACCTAATTCAATTATTTTTAAAGCAAAAAATGCACAATTTACAAACATATCAGAATAAGAACTGAATCGAACTAAAGAGTGGATATATATATACATATTTTATAACTTTGGTGTCGCCGATTGCAACCAAAATCGAGGTGCACATCTACATATTATAGCAGTCCTATATACAAAATTTCAACATTCTGAGACTACTCGTTTTTGAGTTATGTGAAATACATACGTACGCACAGACGCCACGAAAAATTCTCTTTAGAATTCATTTTAAATTAGTTTTACAATTTTTTTGGGTGGAAAGAGTCCTTTATCCTGTCCTTACAGATGTTATGCAAAAACATCATCGCATTCGATAGCTGTGAAAATGGCTATTTGCGTTGAAATATGATGCTTGAAACTTTTTGCAATTACAATACTTCCTTTTTATTCCGTACAAGGAAGTAAAAAATGCAAAAGGTTTATAGCCTATGAAAATTTTAAATGTTTGTAACTGATATATTTTTAGATTCAAAATTTTGAAATTACTGGGCATCAAAAAGTCTAAAAATTTGAGCAATTTTAAAAAATTCTCCCAAAATAAATTAAAAAAAAATAATAATAGTAAATAAATAAAAATAGAAAATAAAGTTACGCAAAAATTTCTTCAAGTTTTTTTTCCCTCCACTCTGTCTTATGGTGCAAACAATAATATTCTGAGATTCTCAGTATATTTGTTAACAAAAAAATATGCAAAAAAATCATTTCAACTTGAAACAAATTTGAAAAACTCTAATCCCCTAAAAGTCGTAACACCACATCCACAAGCAGTGTATGTACAAAATTTGAATTTGATATCTTATCAAAAAACAATTTAAAAATCGAGAACCATATTTTAACCATAGCAACGAGCACCAAAAGTGAAGTAAATAAAAAGCTTATAATAATAATAAAGCATAACTTTTTTGGGAACAATTACGAAAGTTCCAGTACCAGTTGCGAAAGTAACAACAGTAAACAGCATTAAAAAGTGTAAACATTATTAGAAATCAACCAATTCGATTTACGTTTGTGGTATGATTGTTCACAGAGGCTTATGTGTAAACGGAAGGAAGATAGCAGTCTTCTGAATGGGTCCTAAAGACGAAACCCCTTCGTGTCTCCTTTTTCTTCTCTTGCTAATGGTAGCTGTGCAAAGGAGCATTGCATGTGAACAGGGTTCATGTGGGATACCCAAAATGTATAGCAAAAGTGGAGAACCAAACCTACCAGTCTTCTCAAATTAAACCATTCATCTCACTGCTGTAAACTGAGTCATGTCGAAGAATAATTGCAAATTCAGTTTTGCCAGCTTTTCCATCCATAACCTATTGACTATCATTCTTCTTTCACTTCCATAAGAAGAAAAAGGTCCTTCAGTAAATTTCAGCAGGTTTTCATTCCTTAAGCCCAAAGATATCCCATTATTACATATTATTCAAAAATACAGTCTAATAGTTAGATTCTTATTATTATTTTAAATCCTAATTAATTATAAAAATACCGTATTCTGCCAGCTTTTATTTACATCAGTTATCCTATAAAGCTTCAAACTACCTTTTACCCTCTACATATCATTATACAACCAAAAATATTATAATAAAATGGAGAACTGTAAAAGAATAAACTTTAGAATAAGTTAACTGTGGTCATAAATAACTTCATGCATATCATATGAAAAATAGATACTTTTCCATTTTGCTGGCGCAAATCTCACCAAGCAGACTTTGTTGGCAACAGCAGTATATACATAAAAAATGTTAACAAATGTTAGTTTTAAGGATTTTTTATTTTGAAGGCATAAAAATTTTAATATGGTTTAAAATTTTGTAAAAGGCCAGTAAATAAAGACAATAAATTTGTAAAAAGGCATTAATTTAAGTATTTACTATGCTTTCATGGTTCAACATCCTGATTTGCCGGTTGGTATCACGTCACCCCAAGTGATCTTATCTCAGGTAAACTATGCTACAAAAATCTAATTTTCTCAGTAATTATCTACATTAATTTCAAGTTAAATATTAAATTAAATCTTATGGAATACAAGAATTATTTCAATTCATACGAATAGCTTAGTCAGAAATTGTGTAAAACCGCATTGCTTTACTTCACTAGTGCATTCTCATTAGATTTGATGAATTTAATCTTTGATTTTGCCTTTTCTATATTTTTGCCTTCGAGCGAGTGGCGTGATTGCATCCCAATTAATTACCACGAATGGTCTTATAGCATAAAATTTAACTAGTAAAAATTCTATGTAATTGTATGCCAGTATTGAAAGAAACAATCAATCTGATAAGAAATGGCTGCAACTTGTTTTGAAAATGAAGGGTAAAAGATTACCAGTGAAGATATTCTGTTTAGCATCAGTTGTACCATTATTGGCAACTTTATCGTTTGCGCCGGCAAAATGGAAAAGAACTGAATTTTTAAACTGCTATTATTTAGCACAATATATCATGATGTTTAATATAATGCAGAAAACTTTAAAATTGTAGTTACCCTATTGACAAGGATAAATTTATTCATATCAAGGCCTTGAACAGGGAAGTCAATGTAGTTATCTAATTTTGTCCTAAAGAAATTGTTCCATCTAAATCGCTTTAGATGAAGACATAGAACCTATGTAGAAAGATAAGCATAATAAAGCAAAATTTATGAAGAAAGAACATCTATCATGTCACATAAGCATGTATAATCAAGATATAGCAATTAAATCAAAACTGGAGTTAACAGTGTTTTATAGGAAGAACATACAGCAAATCTGAAACAAACAATTTTTTAAAAAATAACATTATAAAAATATACAAATAGTTGTAAATTTTTCAGTCTTTCTCAACTATTTGTTACATTATTTTTTATATTATTTTATTGAGTTGTTTTATTTTTCTTTCAGTTCTGATGTATATTCTTTCTATCATACTGTTAAGCATAAACTTGACTATTACATATTAGTTATTTAATTAATTTCGCAGCATACTGTGCAACTTTAATAATTTATAATTTTAATTTTGAAATTTTTAATCTTCTGTTTATAGACATAAGGGTCACCTAAATAAAAATGGCACTACAGTCAGTATGGCAAATACTCAGTCATGGTATTGCTGTAAGTATACAGGATGATGGATACCCTGGGTGAAGAAACTCTGCAGTGTGCTGTGAAACCAGTTTTCGATGAAAGCTTGGACCTCATTACTGTCTGCAAATCGCTGTTTCTTTAGAGCTTTCTTGAGCAGACCAAAGACATACCAGTCACAAATTTAAGAGGGCTGTAGGGGGATGTTCCAGAGTTTCCTAGCAAAACTGCATTAATGTTTTGCATGCAACAGCCACTTGAGCATTATCATGCAAGAGAATAACCCCGCAAGACAGCATACCACATCGTTGGTTCTTGATTTCTTTCTCAATTTATGTAATGTGGCACAGTAGCTGGCAGCATTAAAAGTCATGCCCGGAGTTAGTAATTCCAACAGCAAATGGGCCATCAACACTGAAGAAGCATGTAAGCATGACTCCTAGTTGAATGAGCCTTCTTTGGCCATGGGGATGAAAGGTGTCACCACTCCATGCTCATGCATTTGGAGGCCAGATTAAAGTGATGACACCCTGTTTCCTCAGCGACAATAATCCGAGAAAGGAAATGGTTCCTTATTTCATGGTAATAAGGCTTTTCATGAAAACTCCCATGCAGTTAACTCTTCTGCAAGATGTTTCAGAACCCAATGCATGCAACCTTTCTGGTATTGCAACATTTCATGCGGAATTTCATGAATATTTTCTTTGCTCATAGACATTCTACTCGCTATCTCGAGTGGTCATTTGCCAATTATTTCTCACAAGACTGTCCACAGCTGCAGTTCCTTCCTGAATAATAACCACATGGACTTGATCTGGTCATGCCTTGCCATCCATACTGTTTCATCCTTAACGAAATTCGCTACACCATCTGAATACCCATCTGCATGACGTACACTCAGTGCCCCACACATTTTGCATGCAATGATCAATTTCTCTAGCACTCACATTTTCAGCCATTAAAAATTACATGACTCCACATTGACATTTGGAGCCATCCATGATACAAACAACACTCTTGACCTCACTCCTACGCTATCACACAAGTGTAGGAGCAAGGTCATAATCTAATGATACGGCATGCATTCCTAGCACATGGTGCCCTCTATAGGGGCATGTTTAGTCTTCTGTATCTTAAAACAATGGTGGAATCATGGCAGTGCCACTGTCATTTGGGTGATAATGCCACGGAGAAATGATTCTGTAAGTAAAATTATTTATTGAACCAGTCTCAGTTTTTGTATCACACCTCGTATACTTAAGACTTATCGAGGGCTGGCCCTAGATACCTTATCACCTGATGCAGTCTTTGCGGGTCCTAAATTCTGCTACCAAGTGCTTCTCTAAGTTCTAAATTTTTGCTGCCCCTAAATTTTGGATCCCAGTGCTTTCCCTAAATTCTGAAAATATTTTCATCCCTTCATTTTGTTACTCGGTGCTTCTCTAAATTTTGAAAATCTTGTCTTAACTAAATTCCGCCACCCGATGCGGCTATGCGAGCTCTCATGCTATTTCTGGGTTTGTGAGAAAAACAAATCAATTATTCTTAATTCAAATAGCGCTAAATGTAATCTTATCTTTTGGCCTATGAGTATCATTAACAAAATCTATTTTTAGCATATTAGAAATTTTTGTTACATTTTCCCACTTCAATATTCCTTAGTGCATTTAATTTAAATCTGTAATCATTGCCAAGCTTAATGTCATCATAAAAGGTTACCATACTTTTTGTTTATTACATTAATAATATAAAAAATGTTGTTCAGTCATCACTGTATGAGTCAATACTCAAGTTGTCATGTGTTGTTAAACATGCGGTGATAAAGCAAAATATAATAAATAATGATTCGCCAGGTTCGCGTCAAGGATATAAAATATTAGTACAGTACAAATTCCGTAATCCGGACGTCCATAATCCGGAATGATCTATAATCCAGACCTCAAAGCTACAAACTTTATGCGTATGCGCATTTAATGTATAATGGACGGTATAAGCTAGGCTAAAATTATCTAAGGCATTTCAGTTAATGTTGCAGATTGCGCTGTTCCTTAATCTTCTAATTGGATTCGGCTTATTATTTTTTGCAGACTGTTAGAGCAATTTTATAAAAAATCTGATGTGTACACCACGACTTCCTTGTACGGAATATTAAATTATACACATTTTTCTTGCATTTATTTCATTTAAACTTATTAGATTATATTAAACCTACTTCGCCGACAGCGCATAAACCACAGTAGAATAAATGCATTCTTTAAAATTCACTTTGTTTACCATAGCAACACTCTGGTGCTAGGTTTACTTAACAGTATTATATTTCATTCATATTATAACTCAGAATGCACAAAATTTGTATCATTTAAAGAATTATCTAATCGTTGCCACATGTTCTATTCAAATACTATAATAAAGCTAGAACTATGTATAAAAGAAATTAAGCAAACAAAACAAAAAAGAAACAGTTTTTCACAGACGAATGAGTATTTCTCATTCAATTAATTCAGTTTTCACTTCGCGACAAGGCAAAAATACATAAAAACTCAAAATATCTGTATTAAAAATTACGAAGTAAATCTTAAACGCTATTTCCTCGAAAAAATTCCAGAAAGGATTAAGCATGATTTAAATAATAAATGAAGGACTTATCTTTGTTGTTGCGAAGCTAAGTTTCTCTAGATTGGCAACAAATCCACTATCAAATGTAAACAAGAGCAATGGTTGCCATCAAAAACATAATTAGGCTTAGCGGCACTTAAACAATTTTAAAATTGTTGCTAATTCTAAAAATATTGCATACAGATTTACTAAAGGCATAAAAACCTTAACCGGAAGATAAGAACAACATAATTCAATCATTTTTAAAGCAAAAATTGTACAATTTACAAACATATAAGAGTAAAAAAACTGAGATCACTGAGCCGGGTAACAGAGTGGATATATATATAAATATATTCATATATGTTTGGTGCGGCCGATTGCAACCAAAATACGAGGTGCACATCTACATGTTATAGCAGTCCTTTATACAAAAATTTTACGGAAAAATCCCTAATCCAGAATCGCCGAAGTCTTGACGAGTCCGGATTACGGACTTTGTACTGTATATGTAGAATCAATGATGTTTCTATCTAGAATGTTTCAGTTTGAGATGTATGCCAAGCAGATATGCAGCCAAATTATTGATTGCACAAATTTATAATAAATAAATGTTTTTTCAACAATGAGGTATTTATTAAGTGCCGAAGGGAAATTAAGAATCGGGATTCTGCCCATATTTTACTTATGGGTGAAAAAAAGAAATGTGCATGCATAAAGCATTAAAAAAAATTGTTGGCAGTTTTGAGGTCCGGATTTAAGATCATTCCGGATACTGGACATTTGGATCTCAGACTTTGTACTGTAGTAATCTGTTATTACACTGGGTCAATTCAAGGCTAATCCATGTCATATGACTCTTACATACTCGTAATTTTGATGATGCAGGTGAAACTCAAACAGCCAATAATAATTTTACATCAGTATTAATTACCCAATCAAATTGCATTGAGAACCAAAAGTAACTCAGTCTGAATTAAGATTTCATCCTGAACATAACACTTTTGCTCTCTACCCTTCGACCTAGCTGGATTATTGCCTGCTGCTCTCTTCTTACTGCAAAGCTGTTATAAATGTAAACATTTTAAAATAGGCACAAATAATGTTCCAAATTGTTCATGGCCACTACATGTTTACTGAAATAAAAGGAAGATTTAATCTGCCTCAGCTGCCAGTTTCCTATTCGTTGTGGATTCGCATTTCAGCATTTTATGCCATCACAATTCTTGCTCTTCATTACAGATTCAACCTTCTAGATTATACACCATCAATATTGGAAACCCCTTTTTATTATATACATATATATATATGTAGTATTTTAGGTGTGTAGTTAGAGAGATAGATGCAGAAACCAGTAAACATTTAAAACATTTAAACATTTTAAAATAGGCACAAATAATGTTCCAAATTGTTCATGGCCACTACATGTTTACTGAAATAAAAGGAAGATTTAATCTGCCTCAGCTGCCAGTTTCCTATTCGTTGTGGATTCGCATTTCAGCATTTTATGCCATCACAATTCTTGCTCTTCATTACAGATTCAACCTTCTAGATTATACACCATCAATATTGGAAACCCCTTTTTATTATATCATATATATATATATATATATGTAGTATTTTAGGTGTGTAGTTAGAGAGATAGATGCAGAAACCAGTAACTTCCAAACATTGCCATTTCTAAACACTACTTTATTCCATGATATTGTGCATCAGCTCACTTTTAGCAGATAAGGCATTTATCTAATCAAAGTTAAATACAATAATTTTTATGTACACTGGTTTTTAAAGGTATCATGTAGACATTTTAAATTGGGAAGCAAAGCAGCGTGGATGTTCACGTGGTGAAAGCTAGGAAAAGGAATGATGTAATTGCTTTGCAAAGAGTATTTATACTAAGTATGATGCATAAGTACAGCTAACCTGTTCCTGGTTAATTTTAGGCTGTTATGTAACATGGAAAGATTTCGAATTTTGGAGAGCAGATGAAGTTGAGAAGGGGGAGAACACCAAATTTAGAATATTTAATTTTGAGGTCGCCAATTGTTTCTTAATGCAGTTATCAGAGACATAATAACCTAAAATTAACCAATCATAGATTAGCTGTACATATGCATCATACTTAGTAATAATATTCTTTGAAAACAATTATGTAATTCCTTTTCCTAACTTCCATCACGCCAACATCCACGCTGCTTTACTTTCCAGTATAAGATGTCTGTCAAAATTTTGGGAAAATACTATAATATTATCACGATAATTTAAAGCAAACAGAATCTGATATTGGTTTAAAGCTTGTCTAAGGGCTCTCTGAAAATCAGCTGAGGAATTTTTCTAACCAAAAGATAATCTATTGACTTCATAAAGGCCAAAATTTATAGTAAATGCTAATTTTTCAGTATCTATTTCATTTAATTTTATATGCCAATAACCAGATGCTAGGTCTAATGTGGAAAAAAAAATTTGCATTTATTAATTGATCTACAACAGCATTCATCCTAGGGATATGTTCAGAAACAGTTTCAGTAATTTGGTTAAGCTTCCAATAGTGAATACACAATGTAGTTTTTGCCTGTTCATATCTCTTATAAACTAAAGTTACAGGTGCAGCATAAGAACTGATGGTTTAATTATTCACACATTTAAAAATTCATCTATTTGTTTCTTAATTTCACTAACTCTAGAAAATACTCAATATGGTCGAGAAGCTATAGGTAATTCTAAACTACTTGTGGAGGCTCAATATTGATACAGCCCACATCATATGTATACATAAAAACTAACAGAAATTATGTTCAAAATCTAGAATCTAACCATGCACTACCAGCTACAATAAAATAGTGGCAATAAGTAAATTCAAACTTCACAATTTGGTAAAAATGAAATAAGAATTGACATAAATATTGTTAAAATACTGCATTAAATTATTATGCAAATAATCGAATACAAGAAAACAGTGAAAACACGAATTGGCACAATTGCCTATTGGGGCTGGGCTGTTGAATTCACAGTCTGTTTCTGATTTAAATCAAAACTATATTAATTTATTTTAAGTTTAAATGTGCATCTGTTAACTCAGAAACAGGCTTTTACTTTTAGATTTTTCAGCATGCTAACATCCTGAAGAATACATTAGAGAAAATGCGAATCCTTCTTATATTTGATTCTCTTTAGTCATTTAATACATGGTTTTTGCAATATTTGTGCCAATTCTTACTTTTGTTTAAATTCCTTTCCTATTTTCATATATCTAATTATTTTTGTCATTTAATACATTACAGTTTTTTTTCAACAGTTATGCTAATTCTTATCTCTTTTTTACCAAATTGAATGTGATATTTGAATAATGTAAATTTAATTGTTGCATTATTTTACTGTAGCTCACAGTACATAAATTGGGTTTTGGTTTTTTTAACTTAATTTTTTTTAGTTTTTAAGTATTTATTAATTTTGTATGGTTTACAGCTTTTAGCAAACACTGCATTTAATAATTATATATACATATATATATGTACACCATATTTTCCGGCATATAACATGCACTGGTGTATAATGCGCATGTATAATTTCGAGCTATGTTTTTAAATTTTTAAGTATATCCACCGTATAATGGCCACCCAATTCTTCATGAAGAAACCTAAAAGATACATGTGCAATGCTCTTATCTTTTGAGGTCACTTATTCAAAGATTTGTCCTAGCTTTTCAAACAATGGTACACTGAAATGAAAAGCAATAAGGGGAACAACAGGAAAGTTATTTTACAAGAAATTCATTACAATATAGAAAAAACAGGTAGGTAAATACAATAAACAATAAAATACTTACATTGGGCAAACGTCTAATCCAAAACCTTTTTGTTGATCTTTGTTTACATTTGCAACTATGACAAAGGTATAATTCGCTATCTGCTAACTCTTCTAATTCAGTGAAACTACTTAAGCAATCTATAATTTACAAATAAATAAATAAATAAAATAAGCATCTAAACTTGTATCACACATTACTAAAATTTTTTATGATGCAACATATTTTACCTCAAATGCAAGAGTATCACAAGATATCAAAAAGAAGATAAATAGTAAGAATACAAATACAAACACACAAATAAAACAGAATATTTCAGGTACAAAATCAATCAGAATGTCAGATTATGTTAAAATTATCATTTTCAATGCCTACAAGGCTTTGATTAGTTTGCTTTGGTTCACATATGCAGTACAAAGTCCGTAATCCGGACATCCATTATCCGGAATGATCTATAATCCGGACCTCAAAGACATGAACTTCTTTTTTGTATGCTTTACGCATGTGCATAATGCATTTACACATGCACATTTAATGTATAACGGATGGTATAAGCTAGGCTAAAATTATCTTTACTGATTCTAAGGTATTCAGTTAATGTTGGCAGATGCGCTGTTCCTTAATCTTCCAATTGGATTGGCTTATCATTTTTGGCAGACTCTTAGGTAATTTAAAATTAAGCTTGAACTTCGATATGTCAAAAAGAGTTCAATCTGGAGCTGCAAAGGATCTACAAAGCGAACAAGTTAGATGTCCATCAACAAAGGGAATTGCGCAAAAGTGGATAAAAATTCGATTGACAAGTTATTCGTATTCTCACACAGCATTAGGACTGAGACAACTTTGTAAATGACAAGAAATTATTTGTTGTAGAATGAAAGAGAAATCTTAGTAAAAAACAAGCAAATTAAACAACGGACATGAAGAAATGTTTAATAAGTAACAAAAAATATTTTTTTTGTAAATTTGCTACCCTTATATCATAATGCTCTTTTTCATAATTACTTTTTCATATTTTTAATTATATAATTCGGCACCATGTTACCAGATTTAAATTGATGATCTATAATCCGGAAAAACCCCTAATACGTAATCGCCGAAGTCCCAACGAGTCCGGATTATGGACTTTCTACTGTATTATAATATATACATATATAACAATACTGGAAGTATTAAGGTTCTGCAGTATTTTGCAAAGGGCGTGAATAAATTTTCACAAACTCCCCTTAACCACTTAACTGTTTCATTTTCCTGCCATACTGTGGCCAAAAATAAGCATATTTTTTATAAACAATTTTGTAATCTAGTCGAATACATGAATTCAAATCATCAGACAAAAGTGTTGTTACAAGTATTGCATTTGTTTATTAATTTAAGGTAATTTTTAATTATGGCAAAATTAAAGCATTTTTACTTAAAGTTGGCTTTTTTATGACAAAACTGCATAACTAGAAAGAACACTTTACAGGAGATAAATGTGAAAGAAGTAAATTTACTGTGAAAGGAAATTGTGGCAGTGGTGGAGGAGAATTAGATCATCTGAGCTTTCTGTTTCATCATCATCACTAGGGAATTCCAATAAAGAACTTTCAGGACTACCAGAATCATTTATAAAAAATTCAGATTACCTACCTGATCCAGTATCAGAACTATATTCTGTTACAAGCCATTTACTATCACGCATTGATCTTTTATTTCATGACAAAATTGGAAAGAAGCACTATTCACAAAGCCTAATACATATGTGCAAACAAACTCATTGAATTTTTCCAAATAATTAAAAAACCATAAAACCTATCCTTGAACTGGTTTTACAATCCAATCTCTCCTGGACCACTAAAGACATCTATTAGAAACACTGCAGAGTAAAAAATGTGAAAAAGCCTGAAAAATCAGAGGATTGGTGTAGGAAAATATACTGCCCGAGCGGTGTACAGACAAACCAAAACGTCCCTTTTCGCAGCACCTGAACAGTGATCGGGCAAATCAGTTAAGTGGTTAAAATAACAATACAATAACAGAAGGTCTACAAAAAACTTAAAAAAAAAATTTAAAAAAAAAAAAAATTGTATGTAGTAATTTTAATCGTAATTAACTTGATTTCAACAAGAACTGTTTGACTTTCAGTGAACAGATAAAAAAATGCGAACATACAATGAATAGATACAACAATACTAAGCAATACAAAGACTCTGTTTCTGCACTCTTAAGTATCATATAAAAATTAACATAAATTTACCTAACAATTGTATACTAGGTACTTCCTCCTCCTTCGATTTATTTGATGAAGGTTTTATAATTGCATGGTGTGGAATGTCTAAGGAAAGATCTGAAAAAATATGAGAATTACAAGATTATATTTCACATTCGATCAATGAAAATTTCTAAAATTTCTAGCAGAAAAAAAAAAAAACTTTTTTAACTTGACAGCCAATCATGCCACAGCGCTCTAATGCATGGCTTCTATTTTCTTTTTTAAAAAATACATTTAAAAACTAATATATATGCTAAGGTTTTAAATATTATTTTAAATATAAATTCAGTTTTCACAAATTAATATCTAAAAATTGTTACAATCCTTTGTTTATATAAGTTACTGAAATTACATATATGATTAAAAAATCCAATAAGCAACACAGAAAAATAAATTATTAATAGCAACTTTAGAACATTTTTACAACTGATAAGTGGTAGGAAATAGGAAATAATTATGCAACAAAGAAAAGTAAACATCATTTCAAATTGTGCATTGAAATGCATTTCAAAAACAAGAAAATTGTAAGAGATTAATAATATTTAACATAATCAGTCGCTCTCTCTCTCAGGGGCAGCAGAACTGAAATTAGTAAGTAAAATAAATCAATAGTTCACCAAAAATGAATGAAAAATAAATAAATAAATAAGCAGCACAGATTTCAAGTTTATATTATGGACCATGGAAAAATAAAAGTTTAAAATAATTCCCCTGCATAACATAAGGAAAAAGCTCAATGCAAAACTAAAATAGGCAAATAAGAAATTTTTAGATAAAGTCATTCTAAGATTTCATATGCCTCACAGTCAACGCTTTGCTACTTGCAGCAAAAATTAATAAATTATATGGCAGCTGAAAATGCAACCTGATGTCCTTCAATGAATTTCTAATTTTCTTTGTTACTATCTGTCTGCACTTCTAATACACCTACATCTTTTTTTTTAAGTGATATATAATTTTACTGTACAGGTGTTATCACGTTTTCAACGTTTTGGCAATATTCTGTGATTTGGAAGCAAGTTCATTACTCCTCCTTCAATTACTTCTTAAATTCCCATTGCAAATTGAAGTACTCAATAGCATAAGCACCAAAAGACCTAATGCATTGTTTTTATAACAATTTAAATTTTGTACATTAAAAAACAACAAAACTACTTCTCCTGGATATTTTGAAATTTTAAGTAATATACCATTACAATTATAAGAAGAAAACTGGATCTATTTCTGGAGTTCAAAACACACGAAAAACAGGCTTATTTGATTTCAGATTCAAATAACCAGTTTATTTAATTCTGGTGTATAGGTGACGGGAGATTCGCAAACAGAGAAGTTTTTCATACACACAATGAAAGAAAAAAACACAGTAAAAAGTTTGATATGCAGAATCACTCGGACTTTAGCAATTCCAGATTTCAGATTACCAATTTAAATTTAGTCGATTGGTACACAAATATTATAAAATTAAAAATGTGAAATGGTTATTTGTGAAATAATGAAGCATTTATGGCCTTAAGAAAATCTAAATGCAGAAGAAACATTCAATGTTATAATTTATTTTCACTTTTCTTTTAGCATAAGCAATTTTGTTCTTTGTGTTAATGCTTTCCTTTTAATTTTACACATAAATGTAATTCCATATTCAATTACAAAATTGAACTGTTCAAGTATTGTAATTATTGTGTTGAGAACTGTCTCTAAAGCATCCTGTAATCATTTCATTTTCAATTAACTTCTTTGCCACTTTCTTTTTTTTAATCACCTACCAAAAGGTGATATTTTCTGGCTTTGAATTCATACTGCAAATTTTGCCACTGGTTAGTTGATTGATGATTTAGATTATTATCATCAGAACACAAGATTCAGTCATACCATATTCATTTAACATTTTCTGCATTTTTTCAACATACTCCGTTAATAAAAAATTTCACTTTTTTCTTGTGGTCTCTAAAAGTTTTGAAATTTGTTGCTCTCATCATCATAATAACAATAAAATATAGCAACTAGCCATAAATTATGCCAAGCATTTTTTTAGATATATTGGCAGAGATGTACTATCCTCTAAACAGTAAGTTTTATAAAAAAATATTTCAATAATTCTTGGATGGTTATCAGTTTTATAAGGCTATTTTATATCTGCATTTTAAGGAGTATAAAATTCTGACATTGATTGCGTAAATGATGAGTATAAAATTCCGAGGAAAGAATAAGACTGATGAGACAGATGGTATCTTTTACTAAAAGTGACAGAGAAGACAAATTGTTGTCTATAATCAGAATTGTTGCACTGTCCAGCAAACCAATCAACTTTAAATGTTGCCAAGTCTCAAGTATAAAATATTTCTCAAACCAAGCATTCATTAATATTTGTTTCATCCTAGTTTATATGAATGACATATGATGGGGAAAAGTCTTCACACTTTTGAATACCTGAGGTCATCTGATTACAAAAAAGAGATTGCCAAGATGTTGTGGGGCATATATTGCTAGAAGAGATCATTTTTGTCAGTGTTCTAAATTTTTTCTAGGGATAACTTTTCATTGTTGATGAGTTTGATTAATTTATCTACAAACTGTTCTCCAGCTTCAGTAGTATCTATAGCTTTCTCTGCCCATGAGAGGTCTGAATAATGTATCATTCTGATTATTAAATATCCAGATTTCAGACTTTGCACTGTATTATACATCAGCAGCTGAAATTTATTGCAATGAGCTACTTCTGCATTAAATTAATAACATAAAATATAAAATGATATCTTAAACAAAACATACTTTTTAAGTTCTTTTAGATTTAATTTCTTTTTTACATTTTAAAGTGCATTTTTCAAAATTAAAGTAAAAAAAGGTTCAAGAAATAATTATACAAAATACAGTTTATTAAAAAATTCCTAACTTGTTAAAAGTTTCACTGCAATATTTATTTTAATTAAAACCCTACACAAATCATTCTGAAATGTTCCCATATTTCATTTAAAATTATTTTCTGAATACATACCTAAAAAAGGATCATGTTTCTTGGATTCTGTGCCACAAACAAGACATGTCACTTCATTTTGTAATATGCCTCCAAAAATTGTAGTAACAATTGTAGCTTTCCCCTTGGCCCCAATAAAGAAAGCATTATTGTCTCTTGGATATGGTAAAATATTCAACAATTCCATGTGAAGACGATCAAGCATATACCTTAAAAACTCATGAGCATCTTGTTGTTGGTAGCCTCTGTAAAAAAATCAAATAAAATTGTTTTATAGCATAATATGACAAGCAAACTTAGTTCTGAAGGAATTAGATATCAAAAACAAAATTATATATAAAAGAATAGTTTTCTAAAATAAAAATTAAAAATAAAACAATTTACTAAAAAAAAAAATAAGTATAGATGGCGCGCAATGAATTGGAAGTTGATCAGTCAGCACTTCCTTATCTTAGGGCAGATGTTTCATTTATTTGGCTTATAATTCCTTAAAAGTAGTATTCCATCTCGATTATTCCATCTTTAATGATTTAAATCAAATCCTCGTTCATTAATTGCTTCCATTAGTGACACAGAGGTTATTGAAATGAAAAAATTCGATTGACAATTAGGCGGTATTCCGACACAGCAATATAGGCTTGAACACGGAAACTTGGAACTGAAAGTTTGTGTCTTTTATAGATTAAAGAGAAATATATCACATAAACGAGCAACTTAAAACAACCTTACATTCAAAGAAATGTTTTAAAGTAAACAAATACCTATTAAGCTTTTTTTTGTAAATTTGATACCTTTAGATTAAATTGTTTTTATTTCATAAATTATGGTTTCATATTTTTAATTTTATAATTTTTGCATGCCATCTTACCAAATTTAAACTGATGATCTATAATTCAGAAAAATCGATAATCCAGAATCGTCGAGAAGTCCCGACGAGTCCGGATTAACGACTTTTGACTGTATTTTGCTTTCTTAATTTCTTTAATAATGTAAATATCATCTTAATGAATGTACATTTATGAAAATACAGACGAAAATAAGTAATTTACAAACTCAATTAATAAACGCTGTTTAAATAACGGCCTTCATTACGGATTTAAAATCCTACGCCGCTCAGAGGGTTAATAAGAGCTTCCCATTTTATTTTGTTGCAGCTTCACAATTGGCTGATAATTTTTCTCCATAAAACATGAGCATATGAATTCCATTTCTTTTCTTCGATCTGTTATGCCACTCATAGCTTGTCTTAAAACCATTATCTCCACCCATTTTCTTATGAAGCAGAACAGTTTTTTAATATTGGTCCACTGATTGGCTTTCCCTTGCTGTACTCTTGATTAAACCATAACAGCAAAGCATCATCTAATTTCTCTAACCTCAGTTTCTTTAGACTAGATCAAAAATCGAGTGCACTTTTATCATCAAGTTTATTGCAAAATGACTTGATCACATTCCCCTTTTTTCCCCCTAATCAATTACAGTACTCTCGCCAACACTGAAAGATGATACAATGGATTTAAGGTTTTTAACTCTTCGTCTTTTTTAATGCATTTAATTTCTTTACCATAAAGACAACAATGCATTTTCTTTTACCATAACTTGCCATTTTAAATAAATTTTGTGAATCAAACAAGTTTTCAAATTCCAATGCATTTGAATACTATCAGGAACAGTGTTTGAAAGATTTCATCATTTCCCCTTCATTCTTCCTTACAACTCACTTTATTGTGACCATTTCAACAATTACATTCTTTGGATTGTGGTAAGTGCACCCTTTTCCCTTCTCCGGTCAGCAAGTATCGTCTCTATTATTAAACTGCATTCTAGTCAATATCTTCTCCACCCATATTCCAAGACCTTAGTTTTGAATTAAGAAGAATGTGCGATATGTTAATGCACAAAAAGTTTCTGTGGTAATTCTTTGCTATAATGGCCTCCCAACCATATTTGGCAATTTTAGATTTGCACCAAAAGCTAAAATTTTGCCAAGCTCGTGAAGCACAAATGTAAAGTAGGCAACACAATGTATAATAATAACAATAATATTCACATGTTGTTTCCCAAGAATATTTTTAAGAATCCTTATCCTTATTATTTTATTGCATGTAACTGTTCCAGTCAAGTGCAGCACTTTCACACATATTAAGCTGTTTGTTATGCCATTTTATAGATGTCAACTCCTGTGCCCAAGAATACATAAATCTAATAGCAGTGATGAATGATGTTCTGGAACTACTAAACCAATTTTCAACAAGGAGCCCTTCTTCTTTCTGCAATTTTTAACACTGCATCTCCAAATGGTTTCATCGAATGTAAAGTTTCGCGTTGTGGCCATTTTCGCATACTCGTTTGTCAGGTAAAGACCTCTTTCTTGAAAAAATATTATGGCATCCACCCCATTACTTTGAAAATTAAAGATTGTTAACATCATATTAAAAAAAAAAAAAAAAAAAAAAAAATATTTTTTATATAAACAATGCAAATTCAGAAGCCTCACCAACAATGAACAAATATAAGAAAAATGCAGCAAAAGGAAAAATGCAACATGATGCTAATATAGAAATACAATTATGCAGCAAGGTATAAGAGCACACAGCTGATGTTAATATATGATCATGTGGCGAAGTATAACAGTACACAACCAGATTTTGGAGAGATACCTTCGTTGACTTGCGATTCAATCTTAGGGGCCACTATAACAAAAAAAATACCATTCTTTTTTTAAGCTTATTTATTTTTTATTAAAAATACACAATTACGGAATTTTCAGTTTTTTGTAATTAATTACAGCCAGTTAAACAGAGGCTGGTTAACCCATTAATGAATGGTGTTGCGTTTTTGCAACATCGGCCAAAATTCGTCTTCCGTGTAGTGTTTTTTACTTCAACTTTTTTTTTGTATATTGTAGATAAAACTTCATTCTTTCTAAGCAAAAAACCTATTTCTCTCACAATAAAAATTTTTATAACAATAAATGGTCATTTTTGCACTTTTTTTGCAAAGTTTCTTCTTTTAATTTTAAGTAGATCTCATAGAAAGTACAACCAAGCAAATAATTTTATGAAGATACACCAGTCTTCTAGAAACATTAGACTGTATAATGGAGTCAAAAGGTAAGATTATTATTTTATTTTTGTTGGTATCAGTATGCATTTTTTAAAATATTGTGAAAACGAAACATCAGTTTAAAGCAGTCTTTGTAAGTATACACAGATTTTGCTGCTGCATGACAACACTCCCGTTCACTGATCCCTATTCGTCAATGACTTTCTTGCGAAGACAAAAACAACTGTTTTACCTCATCCTCCTTACTCACCTGATCTCGCACCCTGTGAATTCTTCCTATTTTCTGAATTGGTAAGATGCTTGCAGGGTCATCGATTTCAATCTCAGATAAAGTTGAATGCGCATTGCAGGCTGAATTAAAGGACATAGCCAAAAATGGATTCTAGACATGCTTTGATGAACTTTACAGGCGCTGGCAAAAGTGTGTTGTTGCACAAGGGTCTTATTTCGAAAGAGGATGTCTTTCTGCAATTTAATTCATAATACTTTTTACGTTATAGACTCAGTGAGAACTTCTGAATCCTACCTCGTATATCATTTTGATACATATTCAGGAAAATCTTCAAAAACATTGACTGATCATGAACCAGGTAGAAATGTTGTAACAGATCTTTTAAGAGAATTGGAATTTTCTTCAAATCATTACGCATATTTCAACAACTTTTTTATGTCACACTTATTGTAGTCAGAATTGAATAAGTTCATGTGGTTGGAGCAATTCTTGAGTACAGGTTGGGAAATGGTCCTATTACCAGTAAACAAAATGGAAAAAGAACAACTTATAGTAGATGACACCACATTTGATAAAGAGCATGGCATTGCAGTTATTCAACAGAACCACAATTCTGCTATGAAAACTAACTTTACAATTTATCTGCCTTTATTGGCCATGAGGTTCTCAAAAACAGAAAACAATCTGTAAGTAACCTAAACTCATCCAGAATTACAACAAGTAAGAAATGGTGGCAGACTAATTTTATGAATTTTATTTATGTAGCTAAATAAATTGCATGGAAACTTTATAAGACTGCTGTAGACCCTAACATTTCACTGTTAGATTTTCAAAGAAGTGTTGCATTGGGATTGCTAAAAACAAGAAAAGAATATTCTAAAAATCTGCAACCTTCATTTCCATGTACTGATTGTGTTTGCCAGCCAGCTTTCTTACATAATTTAGCTTCAAGTGAAACAAATTATCCCCAAAATCGCATAATAATAATAATAATTAAAAAAAAAAAAATAAATAAATAAAAATAAAATAAAAGATGCAAATACTGCGGAAGCTAAATGATAACTGTTTGTAATAAATATTATGTGCCTTTGTATATCAAATGTTTCAAAGATTTTAATGTATCAAAAAAGTAATCGGTTTTGACCGAAATTGCATTTTTGCAACATTCTGTATTATTTTGTGTAATTATTCTGTGTAAAATAAATATATATATTTTTTCCCTGTTACATTGTTTCTTAAAAAATTACTTTTGTTCATTTTCTTCAAGTGAAAGGCAGTGTGGTCGTTAATGGGTTAAGAGGGAGTCTACTGTGCTAAAAAGGGCTGAAACGTCTTGATCTTTCACCAAATTTATAAATGCTTGGTAGAAAATGCTAAATGAAAAAATCCTATCAAAAATAGGTTTGGGACTGAAAATACCCAAATTTATTACCACCAGTTATCACCAAATCCTAATATGAGCACCAATTCATCTCAATTTTCCCCAAACATTTAACTCTTAACCAGTTATTTCCTAACAATGAGATATAAGAAACAAAATCTGAATGCTTAATATCTGAATACTGCACATTTTGTTTCTGTTTAGATGGTAATAATTCTGACATAACTGCCATCATGTAACAGTATTAAAAAATGCACCAGTTCCTAACCATGTTCTTAAGTTATTGACTATATTAAGGCTATAACTAATTTTTTAAATCCTTAATACACTGCTGGTCATTAAAACTGCTACACAGGAAAGAAAGCAAACAACAGAATCTTATTTATTGTACATACACAGGATATGATTAGGACATGCATTTATGCATGAGGACACAAATTTGCATCTGGTATGAGGTACACAAAATTCAGTACACTGAGCTGCAACTTCTAGCAGAAATAATGGCTACAATACAGCTGGGCATTGAACCTAACTGAGGTTGGATGACAGATACAAGTACTTTATTC